CCAGAGCGTCGCTATGCTCTCCCCGGACGCCCCAGAGCGTTGTGATGCTCTCCCCGGACACCTTAGAGCGTCGCGATGCTCTCCTCGGACGCCCCAGAGCGTCGCGATGCTCTCCCCGGACACCCCAGAGCGTCGTGATGCTCTCCCCGGACACCCCAGAGCGTCGCGATGCTCTCCCCGGACGCCTCCGAGCATCGCGATGCTCTCCCCGGACGCCCCAGAGCGTCGCGATGCTCTCCCCAGACGCCCTAGAGCGTTACGATGCTCTCCCCGGACGCCCCATAGCGTCGCGATGCTCTCCGCGGACGCCCCAGAGCGTCGCTATGCTCTCCCCGGACGCCCCAGAGCGTTGTGATGCTCTCCCCGGACACCCCAGAGCGTCGCGATGCTCTCCTCGGACGCCCCAGAGCGTCGCGATGCTCTCCCCGGACACCCCAGAGCGTCGTGATGCTCTCCCCGGACGCCCCAGAGCGTCGCGATGCTCTACCCGGACGCCCCAGAGCGTCGCGATTCTCTCCCCAGCCGCCCCAGAGCGTTGTGATGCTCTCCCCGGACACCCCAGAGCGTCGCGACGCTCTCCCCGGACGCCCCTGAGCGCCGCGATGCTCTCCCTGAACGCCCCAGAGCGTCGCGATGCTCTCCCCGGACGCCCCAGAGCGTCGCGATGCTCTCCCCGGACGCCTCCGAGCATCGCGATGCTCTCCCCGGACGCCCCAGAGCGTCGCGATCCTCTCCCCGGACGCCCCAGAGCGTCGCGATGCTCTCCCCGGACGCCCCAGAGCGTCGCGATGCTCTCCCCGGACACCCCAGAGCGTCGCGATGCTCTCCTCGGACGCCCCAGAGCGTCGCGATGCTCTCCCCGGACGCCCCAGAGCGTCGCGATGCTCTCCCCGGACGCCCCAGAGCGTCGCGATGCTCTCCCCGGACGCCCCAGAGCGTCGCGATGCTCTCCCCAGACGCCCTAGAGCGTTACGATGCTCTCCCCGGACGCCCCATAGCGTCGCGATGCTCTCCGCGGACGCCCCAGAGCGTCGCTATGCTCTCCCCGGACGCCCCAGAGCGTTGTGATGCTCTCCCCGGACACCCCAGAGCGTCGCGATGCTCTCCTCGGACGCCCCAGAGCGTCGCGATGCTCTCCCCGGACACCCCAGAGCGTCGTGATGCTCTCCCCGGACACCCCAGAGCGTCGCGATGCTCTACCCGGACGCCCCAGAGCGTCGCGATTCTCTCCCCAGCTGCCCCAGAGCGTTGTGATGCTCTCCCCGGACACCCCAGAGCGTCGCGACGCTCTCCCCGGACGCCCCAGAGCGCCGCGATGCTCTCCCCGAACGCCCCAGAGCGTCGCGATGCTCTCCCCGGACGCCCCAGAGCGTCGCGATGCTCTCCCCGGACGCCTCCGAGCATCGCGATGCTCTCCCCGGACGCCCCAGAGCGTCGCGATGCTCTCCCCGGACGCCCCAGAGCGTCGCGATCCTCTCCCCGGACGCCCCAGAGCGTCGCGATGCTCTCCCCGGACGCCCCAGAGCGTCGCGATGCTCTCCCCGGACGCCCCAGAGCGTCGCGATGCTCTCCCCGGACGCCCCAGAGCGTCGCGATGCTCTCCCCGGACGCCCCAGAGCGTCGCGATGCTCTCCCCGGACGCCCCAGAGCGTCGCGATGCTCTCCCTAGACGCCCTAGAGCGTTGCGATGCTCTCCCCGGACGCCCCATAGCGTCGCGATGCTCTCCCCGGACGCCCCAGAGCGTCGCTATGCTCTCCCCGGACGCCCCAGAGCGTTGTGATGCTCTCCCCGGACGCCCCCGAGCATCGCGATGCTCTCCCCGGACGCCCCAGAGCGTCGCGATCCTCTCCCCGGACGCCCCAGAGCGTCGCGATGCTCTCCCCGGACGCCCCAGAGCGTTGCGATGCTCTACCCGGATGCCCCAGAGCGTCGCGATGCTCTCCCAAGCCGCCCCAGAGCGTCGTGATGCTCTCCCCGGACGCCCCAGAGCGTCGCGATGCTCTCCCCGGACACCCCAGAGCGTCGCGATGCTCTCCTCGGACGCCCCAGAGCGTCGCGATGCTCTCCCCGGACACCCCAGAGCGTCGTGATGCTCTCCCCGGACGCCCCAGAGCGTCGCGATGCTCTACCCGGACGCCCCAGAGCGTCGCGATTCTCTCCCCAGCCGCCCCAGAGCGTTGTGATGCTCTCCCCGGACACCCCAGAGCGTCGCGACGCTCTCCCCGGACGCCCCAGAGCGCCGCGATGCTCTCCCCGAACGCCCCAGAGCGTCGCGATGCTCTCCCCGGACGCCCCAGAGCGTCGCGATGCTCTCCCCGGACGCCTCCGAGCATCGCGATGCTCTCCCCGGACGCCCCAGAGCGTCGCGATCCTCTCCCCGGACGCCCCAGAGCGTCGCGATGCTCTCCCCGGACGCCCCTGAGCGTTGCAATGCTCTACCCGGATGCCCCAGAGCGTCGCGATGCTCTCCCAAGCCGCCCCAGAGCGTCGTGATGCTCTCCCCGGACGCCCCAGAGCGTCGCGATGCTCTCCCCGGACACCCCAGAGCGTCGCGATGCTCTCCTCGGACGCCCCAAAGCGTCGCGATGCTCTCCCCAGACGCCCCAGAGCGTTGCGATGCTCTCTCCGGACGCCCCATAGCGTCGCGATGCTCTCCCCGGACGCCCCAGAGCGTCGCTATGCTCTCCCCGGACGCCCCAGAGCGTTGTGATGCTCTCCCGGACGCCCCAGAGCGTCGCGATGCTCTCCCCGGCCGCCCTAGAGCGTCGTGATACTCTCCTGGACGCCCCAGAGCGTCGCGATGCTCTCCTCGGACGCCCCAGAGCGTCGCGATGCTCTTCCCGGACGCCCCAGAGCGTCGCGATGCTCTCCCCGGACGCCCCAGAACGTCGCGATGCTCTCCCCGGACGCCCCAGAGCGTCGCGATGCTCTACCCAGACGCCCCAGAGCGTCGCAATGCTCTCCCTAGCCGCCCCAGAGCGTCGCGATGCTCTCCCCGGACCCCCCAGAGCGTCGCGATGCTCTCCCCGGACGCCTCAGAGCGTCGCGATGCTCTCCCCGGACGCCCCAGAGCGTCGCGATCCTCTCCCCGGACGCCCCAGAGCGTCGCGATGCTCTCCCCGGACGCCCCAGAGCGTCGCGATGCTCTCCCCGGACACCCCAGAGCGTCGCGATGCTCTCCCCGGACGCCCCAGAGCGTCGCGATGCTCTCCCCGGACGCCCCAGAGCGTCGCGATGCTCTCCCCGGACGCCCCAGAGCGTCGCGATGCTCTCCCCGGACGCCCCAGAGCGTCGCGATGCTCTCCCTAGACGCCCTAGAGCGTTGCGATGCTCTCCCCGGACGCCCCATAGCGTCGCGATGCTCTCCCCGGACGCCCCAGAGCGTCGCTATGCTCTCCCCGGACGCCCCAGAGCGTTGTGATGCTCTCCCCGGACGCCCCCGAGCATCGCGATGCTCTCCCCGGACGCCCCAGAGCGTCGCGATCCTCTCCCCGGACGCCCCAGAGCGTCGCGATGCTCTCCCCGGACGCCCCAGAGCGTTGCGATGCTCTACCCGGATGCCCCAGAGCGTCGCGATGCTCTCCCAAGCCGCCCCAGAGCGTCGTGATGCTCTCCCCGGACGCCCCAGAGCGTCGCGATGCTCTCCCCGGACACCCCAGAGCGTCGCGATGCTCTCCTCGGACGCCCCAGAGCGTCGCGATGCTCTCCCCGGACACCCCAGAGCGTCGTGATGCTCTCCCCGGACGCCCCAGAGCGTCGCGATGCTCTACCCGGACGCCCCAGAGCGTCGCGATTCTCTCCCCAGCCGCCCCAGAGCGTTGTGATGCTCTCCCCGGACACCCCAGAGCGTCGCGACGCTCTCCCCGGACGCCCCAGAGCGCCGCGATGCTCTCCCCGAACGCCCCAGAGCGTCGCGATGCTCTCCCCGGACGCCCCAGAGCGTCGCGATGCTCTCCCCGGACGCCTCCGAGCATCGCGATGCTCTCCCCGGACGCCCCAGAGCGTCGCGATCCTCTCCCCGGACGCCCCAGAGCGTCGCGATGCTCTCCCCGGACGCCCCTGAGCGTTGCAATGCTCTACCCGGATGCCCCAGAGCGTCGCGATGCTCTCCCAAGCCGCCCCAGAGCGTCGTGATGCTCTCCCCGGACGCCCCAGAGCGTCGCGATGCTCTCCCCGGACACCCCAGAGCGTCGCGATGCTCTCCTCGGACGCCCCAAAGCGTCGCGATGCTCTCCCCAGACGCCCCAGAGCGTTGCGATGCTCTCTCCGGACGCCCCATAGCGTCGCGATGCTCTCCCCGGACGCCCCAGAGCGTCGCTATGCTCTCCCCGGACGCCCCAGAGCGTTGTGATGCTCTCCCGGACGCCCCAGAGCGTCGCGATGCTCTCCCCGGCCGCCCTAGAGCGTCGTGATACTCTCCTGGACGCCCCAGAGCGTCGCGATGCTCTCCTCGGACGCCCCAGAGCGTCGCGATGCTCTTCCCGGACGCCCCAGAGCGTCGCGATGCTCTCCCCGGACGCCCCAGAACGTCGCGATGCTCTCCCCGGACGCCCCAGAGCGTCGCGATGCTCTACCCAGACGCCCCAGAGCGTCGCAATGCTCTCCCTAGCCGCCCCAGAGCGTCGCGATGCTCTCCCCGGACCCCCCAGAGCGTCGCGATGCTCTCCCCGGACGCCTCAGAGCGTCGCGATGCTCTCCCCGGACGCCCCAGAGCGTCGCGATGCTCTCCTCGGACGCCCCAGAGCGTCGCGATGCTCTCCCCGGACGCCCCAGAGCGTCGCGATGCTCTCCCCGGACGCCCCAGCGCGTCGCGATGCTCTCCCCGGACGCCCCAGAGCGTCGCGATGCTCTCCCCGGACGCCCCTGAGCGTCGCGATGCTCTCCCTGGACGCCCCAGAGCATCGCGATGCTCTCCCCGGATGCCCCAGAGCGTTGCGATGCTCTCCTCGGACGCCCCAGAGCGTCGCGATGCTCTCCCCGGACGCCCTAGAGCGTCGCGATGCTCTACCCGGACGCCCCAGAGCGTCGCGATGCTCTTCCCAGCCGCCCCAGAGCGTCGAAATGCTCTCCCCGGACGCCCCAGAGCGTCACGATGCTCTCCCTGGACGCCCCAGAGCGTCGCGATGCTCTCCCCGGACGCCCCAGACGTCGCGATGCTCTCCCCAAACGCCCCAGAGCGTCGCGATGCTCTCCCTGGACGCCCCAGAGCGTCGCGATGCTCTCCCTGGACGCCCCAGAGCGTCGCGATGCTCTACCCGGACGCCCCAGAGCCTTGCGATGCTCTCCCCAAACGCCCCAGAGCGTCGCGATGCTCTACCCGGACGCCCTAGTGCATCGCGATGCTCTACCCGGCCGCCCTAGTGCATCGCGATGCTCTCCCCAGCCGCCCCAGAGCGTCGCGATGCTCTCCCCGGACGCCCCAGAGCGTCGCGATGCTCTCCCTGGACCCCCAGAGCGTCGGGATGCTCTCCCTGAACGCCCCAGAGCGTCGCGATGCTCCCCCCGGACGCCCCAGAGCGTCGCGACGCTCTCCCCGGACGCCCCAGAGCGTAGCGATGCTCTCCCCGGACGCCCCAGAGCGTCGCGGTGCTCTCCCCGGACGCCCCAGAGGGTCGCGATGCTCTCTGGACGCCGTAGAGCGTCGCTATGCTCTCTCCGGACGCCCCAGAGCGTCGCGATGCTCTCCCCGGACGCCCCAGAGCATCGCGATGCTCTCACCGGACGCCCCAGAGCGTCGCAATGCTCTCTCCGGACGCCACAGAGCGTCGCGATGCTCTCCCCGGACGCCCCAGAGCGTCGCGATGCTCTACCCGGACGCCCCAGAGCGTCACGATTCTCTCCCCAGCCGCCCCAGAGCGTTGTGATGCTCTCCCCGGACACCCCAGAGCGTCGCGACGCTCTCCCCGGACGCCCCAGAGGACCGCGATGCTCTCCCCAGACGCCCCAGAGCGTCGCGATGCTCTCCCCGGACGCCCCAGAGCGTCGCGATGCTCTCCCCGGACGCACCAGAGCGTCGCTATGCTCTCCCCGGACGCCCCAGAGCGTCGCGATGCTCTCCCCGGACGCCCCCGAGCATCGCGATGCTCTCCCCGGACGCCCCAGAGCGTCGCGATCCTCTCCCCGGACGCCCCAGAGCGTCGCGATGCTCTCCCCGGACGCCCCAAAGCGTTGCGATGCTCTACTCGGATGCCCCAGAGCGTCGCGATGCTCTCCCAAGCCGCCCCAGAGCGTCGCGATGCTCTCCCCGGACGCCCCAGAGCGTCGCGATGCTCTCCCCGGACACCCCAGAGCGTCGCGATGCTCTCCTCGGACGCCCCAGAGCGTCGTGATGCTCTCCCCGGACACCCCAGAGCGTCGCGATGCTCTCCCCGGACGCCCCAGAGCGTCGCGATGCTCTCCCCGGACGCCCCAGAGCGTCGCGATGCTCTCCCCGGACGCCCCATAGCGTCGCGATGCTCTCCCCGGACGCCCCAGAGCGTCGCGATGCTCTCCCTGGACGCCCCAGAGCGTCGCGATGCTCTCCCGGACGCCCCAGAGCGTCGCGATGCTCTCCCCGGACACCCCAGAGCGTCGTGATGCTCTCCCCGGACGCCCCAGAGCGTTGCGTTGCTCTCCCCGGACGCCCCATAGCGTCGCGATGCTCTCCCCGGACGCCCCAGAGCGTCGCGATGCTCTCCCCGGACGCCCTAGAGCGTCGCGATGCTCTCCCGGACGCCCCAGAGCGTCGCGATGCTCTCCCCGGACACCCCAGAGCGTCGTGATGCTCTCCCCGGACGCCCCAGAGCGTTGCGATGCTCTCCCCGGACGCCCCATAGCGTCGCGATGCTCTCCCCGGACGCCCCAGAGCGTCGCTATGGTCTCCCCTGACGCCCCGGAGCGTCGTGATGCTCTCGCGGACGCCCCAGAGCGTCGCGATGCTCTCCCCGGCCGCCCCAGAGCGTCGCGATGCTCTCCCCGGACGCCCCAGAGCGTCGCGATGCTCTCCCCGGACGCCCTAGAGCGTCGCGATGCTCTCCCGGACGCCCCAGAGCATCGCGATGCTCCCCTCGGACGACCCAGAGCTTCGCGATGCTCTTCCCGGACGCCCCAGAGCGTCGCGATGCTCTCCCCGGACGCCCCAGAACGTCGCGATGCTCTCCCCGGACGCCCCAGAGCGTCGCGATGCTCTCCCCGGACGCCCCAAAGCGTCGCAATGCTCTCCCTAGCCGCCCCAGAGCGCCGCGATGCTCTCCCCGGACCCCCCAGAGCGTCGCGATGCTCTCCCCGGACGCCCCAGAGCGTCGCGATGCTCTCCCCGGACGCCCCAGAGCGTCGCGATGCTCTCCCCGGACACCCCAGAGCGTCGCGACGCTCTCCCCGGACGCCCAAGAGCGCCGCGATGCTCTCCCCGGACGCCCCAGAGCGTCGCGATGCTCTCCCCGGACGCCCCAGAGCGTCGCGATGCTCTCCCCGGACGCACGAGAGCGTCGCTATGCTCTCCCCGGACGCCCCAGAGCGTCGCGATGCTCTCCCCGGACGCCCCCGAGCATCGCGATGCTCTCCCCGGACGCCCCAGAGCGTCGCGATCCTCTCCCGGACGCCCCAGAGTGCGCGATGCTCTCCCCGGACGCCCCAGAGCGTTGCGATGCTCTACCCGGATGCCCCAGAGCGTCGCGATGCTCTCCCAAGCCGCCCCAGAGTGTCGTGATGCTCTCCCCGGACGCCCCAGAGCGTCGCGATGCTCTCCCCGGACACCCCAGAGCGTCGCGATGCTCTCCCCGGACACCCCAGAGCGTCGCGATGCTCTCCTCGGACGCCCCAAAGCGTCGCGATGCTCTCCCCGGACGCCCCAGAGCGTTGTGATGCTCTCCCCGGACGCCCCATAGCGTCCGGATGCTCTCCCTGGACGCCCTTGAGCGTCGCTATGCTCTCCCGTGACGCCCCAGAGCGTCGTGATGCTCTCCCGGACGCCCCAGAGCGTCGCGATGCTCTCCCCGGCCGCCCCAGAGCGTCGCGATGCTCTCCCTGGACGCCCCAAAGCGTCGCGATGCTCTCCCCGGACGCCCTAGAGCGTCGCGATGCTCTCCCGGACGCCCCACAGCGTCGCGATGCTCTCCTCGGACGCCCCAGAGCGTCGCGATGCTCTTCCCGGACGCCCCTGAGCGTCGCGATGCTCTCTCCGGACGCCCCAGAACGTCGCGATGCTCTCCCCGGACGCCCCTGAGCGTCGCGATGCTCTACCCGGACGCCCCAAAGCGTCGCAATGCTCTCCCTAGCCGCCCCAGAGCGTCGCGATGCTCTCCCCGGACCCCCCAGAGCGTCGCGATGCTCTCCCCGGACGCCCCAGAGCGTCGCGATGCTCTCCCCGGACGCCCCAGAGCGTCGCGATGCTCTCCCCGGACGCCCCAAGCGTCGCGATGCTCTCCCCGGACGCCCCAGAGCGTCGCGATGCTCTCCCCGGACGGCCCAGCGCGTCGCGATGCTCTCCCCGGACGCCCCAGAGCGTCGCGATGCTCTCCCCGGACGCCCCAGAGCGTCGCGATGCTCTCCCCGGACGCCCCAGCGCGTCGAGATGCTCTCCCCGGACGCCCCAGCGCATCGCGATGCTCTCCCCGGACGCCCCAGAGCGACGCGATGCTCTCCCCGGACGCCCCAAAGCGTCGCGATGCTCTCCCCGAACGCCCCAGAGCGTCGCGATGCTCTCCCCGGACGCCCCAGAGCGTCGCGATGCTCTCCCCGGACGCCCCAGAGTGTCGCGATGCTCTCCCCGGACGCCCTAGAGCGTCGCGATGCTCTCCCAGACGCCCCAGAGCGTCGCGATGCTCTCCTCGGACGCCCCAGAGCGTCGCGATGCTCTTCCCGGACGCCCCAGAGCGTCGCGATGCTCTCCCCGGACGCCCCAGAGCGTCGCGATGCTCTCCCCGGACGCCCCAGAGCGTCGCGATGCTCTCCCCGGACGCCCCAGCGCGTCGAGATGCTGTCCCCGGACGCCCCAGCGCGTCGCGATGCTCTCCCCGGACGCCCCAAAGCGTCGCGATGCTCTCCCTGGACGCCCCAGAGCGTCGCGATGCTCTCCCCGAACGCCCCAGAGCGTCGCGATGCTCCCCCCGGACGCCCCAGAGCGTCGCGACGCTCTCCCCGGACGCCCCAGAGCGTAGCGATGCTCTCCCCGGACGCCCCAGAGCGTCGCGGTGCTCTCCCCGGACGCCCCAGAGGGTCGCGATGCTATCTGGACGCCGTAGAGCGTCGCTATGCTCTCTCCGGACGCCCCAGCGCGTCGCGATGCTCTCCCCGGACGCCCCAGAGCATCGCGATGCTCTCACCGGACGCCCCAGAGCGTCGCAATGCTCTCTCCGGACGCCCCAGAGCGTCGCGATGCTCTCCTCGGACGCCCCAGAGCGTCGCGATGCTCTTCCCGGACGCCCCAGAGCGTCGCGATGCTCTCCCCGGACGCCCCAGAACGTCGCGATGCTCTCCCCGGACGCCCCAGAGCGTCGCGATGCTCTACCCGGACGCCCCAAAGCGTCGCAATGCTCTCCCTAGCCGCCCCAGAGCGTCGCGATGCTCTCCCCGGACCCCCCAGAGCGTCGCGATGCTCTCCCCGGACGCCCCAGAGCGTCGCGATGCTCTCCCCGGACGCCCCAGAGCGTCGCGATGCTCTCCCCGGACGCCCCAGAGCGTCGCGATGCTCTCCCCGGACGCCCCAGAGCGTCGCGATGCTCTCCCCGGACGGCCCAGCGCGTCGCGATGCTCTCCCCGGACGCCCCAGAGCGTCGCGATGCTCTCCCCGGACGCCCCAGAGCGTTGCGATGCTCTCCCCGGACGCCCCAGCGCGTCGAGATGCTCTCCCCGGACGCCCCAGCGCGTCGCGATGCTCTCCCCGGACGCCCCAGAGCGACGCGATGCTCTCCCCGGACGCCCCAAAGCGTCGCGATGCTCTCCCCGGACGCCCCAGAGCCTTGCGATGCTCTCCTCGGACGCCCCAGAGCATCGCGATGCTCTCCTCGGACGCCCCAGAGCGTCGCGATGCTCTCCCCGGACGCCCCAGAGCGTCACGATGCTCTCCCCAAACGCCCCAGAGCGTCGCGATGCTCTCCCCGGACGCCCCAGAGCGTCGCGATGCTCTCCCCGGACACCCCAGAGTGTCGCGATGCTCTCCCCGGACGCCCTAGAGCGTCGCGATGCTCTCCCGGACGCCCCAGAGCGTCGCGATGCTCTCCTCGGACGCCCCAGAGCGTCGCGATGCTCTTCCCGGACGCCCCAGAGCGTCGCGATGCTCTCCCCGGACGCCCCAGAGCGTCGCGATGCTCTACCCGGACGCCCCAAAGCGACGCAATGCTCTCCCTAGCCGCCCCAGAGCGTCGCGATGCTCTCCCCGGACCCCCCAGAGCGTCGCGATGCTCTCCCCGGACGCCCCAGAGCGTCGCGATGCTCTCCCCGGACGCCCCAGAGCGTCGCGATGCTCTCCCCGGACGCCTCAGTGCGTCGCGATGCTCTCCCCGGACGCCCCAGCGCGTTGCGATGCTCTCCCCGGACGCCCCAAAGCGTCGCGATGCTCTCCCCGGACGCCCCAGAGCGTTGTGATGCTCTCCCCGGACGCCCCATAGCGTCCGGATGCTCTCCCTGGACGCCCTTGAGCGTCGCTATGCTCTCCCGTGACGCCCCAGAGCGTCGTGATGCTCTCCCGGACGCCCCAGAGCGTCGCGATGCTCTCCCCGGCCGCCCCAGAGCGTCGCGATGCTCTCCCTGGACGCCCCAAAGCGTCGCGATGCTCTCCCCGGACGCCCTAGAGCGTCGCGATGCTCTCCCGGACGCCCCACAGCGTCGCGATGCTCTCCTCGGACGCCCCAGAGCGTCGCGATGCTCTTCCCGGACGCCCCTGAGCGTCGCGATGCTCTCTCCGGACGCCCCAGAACGTCGCGATGCTCTCCCCGGACGCCCCTGAGCGTCGCGATGCTCTACCCGGACGCCCCAAAGCGTCGCAATGCTCTCCCTAGCCGCCCCAGAGCGTCGCGATGCTCTCCCCGGACCCCCCAGAGCGTCGCGATGCTCTCCCCGGACACCCCAGAGCGTCGCGATGCTCTCCCCGGACGCCCCAGAGCGTCGCGATGCTCTCCCCGGACGCCCCAAGCGTCGCGATGCTCTCCCCGGACGCCCCAGAGCGTCGCGATGCTCTCCCCGGACGGCCCAGCGCGTCGCGATGCTCTCCCCGGACGCCCCAGAGCGTCGCGATGCTCTCCCCAGACGCCCCAGAGCGTCGCGATGCTCTCCCCGGACGCCCCAGCGCGTCGAGATGCTCTCCCCGGACGCCCCAGCGCATCGCGATGCTCTCCCCGGACGCCCCAGAGCGACGCGATGCTCTCCCCGGACGCCCCAAAGCGTCGCGATGCTCTCCCCGAACGCCCCAGAGCGTCGCGATGCTCTCCCCGGACGCCCCAGAGCGTCGCGATGCTCTCCCCGGACGCCCCAGAGTGTCGCGATGCTCTCCCCGGACGCCCTAGAGCGTCGCGATGCTCTCCCAGACGCCCCAGAGCGTCGCGATGCTCTCCTCGGACGCCCCAGAGCGTCGCGATGCTCTTCCCGGACGCCCCAGAGCGTCGCGATGCTCTCCCCGGACGCCCCAGAGCGTCGCGATGCTCTCCCCGGACGCCCCAGAGCGTCGCGATGCTCTCCCCGGACGCCCCAGCGCGTCGAGATGCTCTCCCCGGACGCCCCAGCGCGTCGCGATGCTCTCCCCGGACGCCCCAAAGCGTCGCGATGCTCTCCCTGGACGCCCCAGAGCGTCGCGATGCTCTCCCCGAACGCCCCAGAGCGTCGCGATGCTCCCCCCGGACGCCCCAGAGCGTCGCGACGCTCTCCCCGGACGCCCCAGAGCGTAGCGATGCTCTCCCCGGACGCCCCAGAGCGTCGCGGTGCTCTCCCCGGACGCCCCAGAGGGTCGCGATGCTATCTGGACGCCGTAGAGCGTCGCTATGCTCTCTCCGGACGCCCCAGCGCGTCGCGATGCTCTCCCCGGACGCCCCAGAGCATCGCGATGCTCTCACCGGACGCCCCAGAGCGTCGCAATGCTCTCTCCGGACGCCCCAGAGCGTCGCGATGCTCTCCTCGGACGCCCCAGAGCGTCGCGATGCTCTTCCCGGACGCCCCAGAGCGTCGCGATGCTCTCCCCGGACGCCCCAGAACGTCGCGATGCTCTCCCCGGACGCCCCAGAGCGTCGCGATGCTCTACCCGGACGCCCCAAAGCGTCGCAATGCTCTCCCTAGCCGCCCCAGAGCGTCGCGATGCTCTCCCCGGACCCCCCAGAGCGTCGCGATGCTCTCCCCGGACGCCCCAGAGCGTCGCGATGCTCTCCCCGGACGCCCCAGAGCGTCGCGATGCTCTCCCCGGACGCCCCAGAGCGTCGCGATGCTCTCCCCGGACGCCCCAGAGCGTCGCGATGCTCTCCCCGGACGGCCCAGCGCGTCGCGATGCTCTCCCCGGACGCCCCAGAGCGTCGCGATGCTCTCCCCGGACGCCCCAGAGCGTTGCGATGCTCTCCCCGGACGCCCCAGCGCGTCGAGATGCTCTCCCCGGACGCCCCAGCGCGTCGCGATGCTCTCCCCGGACGCCCCAGAGCGACGCGATGCTCTCCCCGGACGCCCCAAAGCGTCGCGATGCTCTCCCCGGACGCCCCAGAGCCTTGCGATGCTCTCCTCGGACGCCCCAGA